ATATATATATATATATCTATATATACATACATATATAGATATATATATATGTATGTATGTATGTATGTATGTATGTATGTATGTATGTATGTATGTATGTATGTATGTATGTATGTATGTATGTATGTATGTATGTATGTATGTATGTATGTATGTATGTATGTATGTATGTATGTATGTATGTATTTATGTATGTGTGGGCAATGGAGTTGGCTATGCCTCCCTCTCGATTCTGAGATTTCTTGTGCTTCCCTTTATGGCTTTGGTGATTTGTTTCTTGTCTCTCTTGCTCTTTTTAAGTGTTTCTCTGGTGTTATTTTAGTTTCTTGTGTGGTTTTTGGACTTTTGGGCGTTCCCGAGCACTCGAAATTTAAAAATCCTTAAAATAGTTTATTATTCCATTGGTGCCTTTACTCATGGTTGCACCTAACCATCCTTTGCCTCCCTCTGTTGATTCTCCTTTTGTCCCCAAACAAATTTCTTTTGCTGATGTTGTATCTATCAATGCTGGTTTTGGTAGTGAATCAGTGGAAAACCTAGTTTTTCCTCATGATTCATATGATGGTAAATGTGATTGCTCTTTGGTTAAAAAGGCTAGCAAAAATGGGGGAAAATCTGCACTCTATGTATATGAAAATGAAGTACCTAACCAACTAAATCTTGTAAGTTTACACTAGTGGGCAAATTTCAATGAGTTACCGACATGACAGGAACTAATCACAGACCCCTCTTACTAACTATCTTAGTTACAGACATCAGTGTGAAATCTCCCTTCGGCTATTTCAATTTTTGGTCAGAACATAAAGACTTTCGAGGTTGTGAATTATGTTTGGTGCACTACAATATATGACAGTCATTGGTTTAAGCTTTGGCAACTTCAAAAAATTTTTGCCAATGCTTTAAGGAAATGGAATTGAGAATGTTTTGGAAATCTCAGTCTTCAAGTCAGTCAAGTGAACGACAGGTTGTAGACATAGTAGAAGCTGTGAATAGAGAGGAGGCTACTGAACAGGAACTTCATGAAGCTAATGCCAAGTTACTCATTGTCATAAGTTTGGAAGAATAGTTTTTACAACAAAAAGCTGTTGATAACAAGTTTACTGATAATGACATAAATTCTAAATATTATCATGTTGTTATAAATGAAAATGGATGTTGGATTACTGATCCTCAGCAGATTGCAACTAATGTTGTCAACTATTTTCCAAGCTTCATGAATCAATCCCATAATGAACATAAAGAAACCGATCCAACACTTTTTGCAGATTATATAATTGTTACCAGACACCTTCAACTCACTCCCTCCCAATGAAAAGGAAATCAAGAAGGCTCTGAACTCCATTGATAGTAGTAAAGCTACTGGATTTGATGGACGTGTTGCAGACTTTTATAAGAGGTTATGGGATACTGTTAAACAAGAGGTAAAATTGGTTGTGCAAAGTTTTTTCTTAGGGGAGGACTCTCCAAAATATTTCACAACCACTACCAGCACTGTATAATTCCCAAATAAAAAGTCAAACTAGATGGGATGATTACAACTCAATCAGTCTTACTAATGTAATTACTAAACTAATCAGTAAAATCTTGGTTAGCAGGATCCAAACTTACTAAAGTAATTACTAAACTACACGTACTCTCCTAATCAATCAGCTTTTTGTCAAAGGAAGAAATATACCAAATAATGTCTTTTTAGCTTACGAATTATTAATTAATTTAGAAAAACTCTGTAGAGGAAGCAATTTAATCTTTAAACTAGATCTTAAAAAAACATATGATATTATTAGTTGGAATTTCATACTTGAGGTGCTTAAAGCAAGAAGCTTTCCCAAAGAATCTTTGTAGTCTCAATACAAGCATAAGAAATATTGCAAGGATAACCACCCCCTCAAGGTACTAAAGAAGTTGGGTGACTCCAAAATTTGGGTGAGCTTACTTAAAAATTAAAGAACATGCAGAAGATTATTTCATTTGGGATGTTGGTTAGACTAATATTGATTTTTGGCTTGATAACTGACAGTTGGATGGTAGAATTCATGATCAAAATCAGACCAATCTTATGCCAAACCTCAAGGCATTTGACTGTTGGAGAAATGACCAATGGGACTTGAACAAGTTCAGAAATTTGGTAAATCATGGGAGAATCAAACAATTTTTTTATATTTCAATCGAAAGCAGTAAAAAAAGATCAGTCGGTGACAAGAACACTGCCAGCCAATCTATAGCCAAGTACACTTACTATATAGAGTTTAGTTGGCAACAGGTAGAATGGGGGGACATTACCTGACATAAATGTCTAACACCATCCATGCCATTTTTTTGTTGGAGCCTATTTATGAAAATCCTACCAACATATGACATTCTGAAACTAAACGGACTAAGGGTTCTTCATGGTGCATACTATATAGAAGGGAGGAAGAAGATTTAATCCATCTTTTGATTAAGTGCAAATTTACAAAAATTGTATGGCGAAAGGTTTCATCCTACCTCAATATGGACATATATGTTTGTTTGTTGTGAGGAATGGAAGGAGTAAGTTAGATGTCATTCCTCTCATTATAGTTTGATTTATCTAGATGGCCAGGACTAACTTTAAACACGAAAATAGAAGGGTGACTGATTTGGAAGTATCATCACATTGTTTGTTAAACTCAAGAATCTTAGTTTACCAGATAAAGTTTGCACAAAATCTAATACTGGTGGAAATAACACGACTAAAGAAGAACCAGTTACAACAAGTTTTTTGGAGGAGACCCAAGTCCCCTTGGATCAAAATAAATACTAATTTGATTCATATAATAGCCTCTACTGGAATGGGGGGTGTCTTCAGAAACCATACTGATAAATGTTTATTATTTCTCCAATCTCTTATATATGTCGATGGGGCTTTGGAAGCAGAAGTTATAGCAACATATTAGGCAATCAAAATTGCAATTCACATGCAGTGGAAGTATATACACATAAAAGGGATTTTTTTCTATTAATTAATACAAATGATCAAAGTTCAGCTAGCACTCCCTAGAAGCTTACACACTAGTTGAAGAAGATTAGAGCAGTATCTACAAATATTCAAGTTTTGTGGAGCTACATTCCAAAAGAAGGTAATCAACAAATAAATTGGCTTGCTACAACATGTAATTCCACTCGTGTCACAACTATTAGTAACTTTCCAAGTCCTATTTTAAAGTTTTGTTACACGGAGATTTGCTTGATATCCCATATATTAGATGAAAGCCATGTAAACCCATTTTGATAAAATAAATGTTTCTCTTTGCCAAAAAAAAAAAGAGAAAAAATGCATGTATGTGTGGGTGTGTATGTATATGTTAGATTCAGATCTGTCCCGTAGACTGTGCCCAAGGTATAGAGCGTGAATTCGAGGGAAAAATAGAGAGATTTGTTCCATCCGAAGATAAAGAGAGATATTCCTGGGCTCTTTGGCTCCTTTTATTCCACTAGACTTGAGGGTTACGAGTGGCCCAAAAAAGGGGAGAGTACCCTTTACATGGGGGTTGAGAGAGAGAGCCTATGGACCTCTTTACATACGACAAGATTCTTCTATTTATAGAAGTTATAATGAGGGGAAAGTAAGATTACAAATATGTCATTGCATTATGGAGAGTGGACAGGGCTGTTCGGTCCTTTCCTTGCTAGGATTTACCAATTTGGAGTGAATTCGTTGCTATGACTCGTTGGCGTCGAGTGGAAAACCCAATTTGGCAGGTCGGCGAAAAATGGCCTGCTAAAGAAGCCGGTTAGTTGGCCGTTGGTTGGTGGGTGACCCAATGTGGCTGGCTGAAGGTGGTCGGCTGGTGTTTTTGAGGTGGTCGACCACCCTTGGCTGGCTAGTTGAAGAGAAAATTGTAGGTGCGATACTGACGATATATATATATATATATATTTATTTTTTTTTTTTTTTTTTTTTGAATAAAGTAATTGATGCATTTGTATAT